CACGAGTAGTCGCTCTACGGTATCCGTGAGCTCTCTAACATCCTTGAACCTACGGGCACAAAGATTGTTGATAGCATCGGTGGCCTTCTGAGCCCCTTGCGGGTCATGCCACCTGTTATACACGGACCGTACAAACTCTTCCAATGTCTGGGCCTGTGACCGGGCATCGAAGTTTTGACCGTAGCCTTGCTGCTGCACTAAGCCATTCAACCAGCGGGCTGCTGACCCCTCTAAAAAGGAGGCAGCCACTACAACTTTCTGCTCTGGCCTGGTGAGCTTGTGCCTCACATAAGTAGGCACAGTCCTCACCCAGGTGTCTAAGTCCTCATCTTTCTTCCTATCACCAGAGAAGGGCTTGGGACTCATCAAAGGTATCTTAGGCATCCACTGCATAGGCTGCATGGGCCCAGGGGCTTGCTGCAGCGGCTGCATAGCCACTGAAACAGGCTGTTGCACACTAACCTGGGCCTGGCTTGACAGTGGGACTGTAGTGACCACTGTTGTAGATGGTACGACTGAGACTGTACGAACCGGACCACTAGTTGCTACTAAACCACCGGGAGGGGGTATGCCAAACATAGGAGAGAAAGTTGACCCTGTGTGTTGCGGCATCGATGAAGGACCCGCACCCGCAGGGGGAACTACAGCAAACTGCGGCTGCCTCACTGCTGTGCGAGGAGCCCGAAGTTCAGCCAGGATTTGTTTCTGGCCTGCCACCAATTCGGCCAGCAATTCCTGCTGGACGTTCTGCGCTTCAGCCACTGAAAGTAAGGCACTACGCAGCACACGAACAACAGGATCTAATGCCGCCTCATCTAGTCGTTCCAGCCTGCCTAGCTCTTGCATTCTACTCCCTAGTCTAGCCTTTCTAAGTATGGCTTTTCTTCTCCTCTCTGCTGCTTCGTCCAGCTGCCGCTGTAGCTCATCTTTAAGTTCTTCTGCTTGACGGATTTCTAAATCCTCCGCCGTGAGTTGAGTCTGCTGGCTGACTCGCAAGCCAGCAGTCTGGCTAGTGGACCCCTGAGTACCACTCCGGCTGACTCCTGACGAAGTGGACTGTGAAGAGGTTTGCGACATGGTAGATGAAGTGGCCATGGTTGTACTGGTACTAGCTATAGTCCTAGTCCTGGCACTATCCTCAGCCACCCTCACTCTCCTTGCTGTTGCTCTCTCTCTAGCCTCCCTCCGCAATCTTCTCTCGTCTCCTGGACCTAACTCCAAGAATGTCAAGGGTCGACTTCGAGCAGTCCCACGAGTAGTCCTACGGTCGTCCACTAACAACTCCTCCTCACTAGTGCTTGCATCACTCATGAGCTACAGTGTGTGTGATCTAAACTAGAATCCAAACTGAATCCTACCTTAGCCTGACACACAACCGATTATGAATCACAACTAATTTCGGTCGGATGGAACAGAAACAGTTAGGTGATATAGTAACAACTAATGTCAGGTCCTACAGGATATATTAAATCTATTTTTAGATTACCCTAGAACAGATTGCAATACAGCAAAGATCTAATCTATCTGTAGCTGTCTGTCAGTTGTTAGTCAAGTCCGTAACAACTAGATAATCAAAAATAAAAATAACATCTCCTGTTGGAGATGTATGCTTGATGGCAGAATGTCTGTTGATTGCCACTGCGAACAGTTACCGGAATCCCCCCTTCCCCTGTATCCTTCTTGAGTGGTCACTTTGTGTCAACGTCCTGAGCATCTGGTTGAGCAGCGTGTCTGAAGGTGTGCAATCCGGCCCACCCTTGTGCCCCAAGTCAAACGCTGAACATGCCAGCCCCTGCACTTTATTTACCCTCGCATGCAACGAGCCTTACACCTGGTTGATCTGGCTGATCAGGAGGGATTTAAGGAGAGCCCCCATCTCCTCAGGAATTATTTAACGTCGCAGACAGGACGACGATCACAGCCAGATTCAATTCCGAGTCCCCAGCCAGAAATGTTTAAAGACGGTCTGGAAAGCATCTGTCCCAAAGGGCTGGCATGCCCTGCATGACCTCTATTGCGCAAGCAGCAGAACCAAGGACTTGCGACAAAGCATGCGTGTACTAGTCCCAGCGGGTTGGCATGGTGACCGTGACTCGAGTTGCTCGTCCAGGGCCCTTCAGAGGCTTCGCCCGTCTCCCACCAGCTTGCTGCCCAGGAAGAATGTCGACTCTCAAGGTTGATTGCTCGCGACACCTCACATCGAGAGGACTCTCAAGACAGAACTCACTTCCTCACGGTAAGAAGCAATGAAGAGGGTAGATAAGGAAGAGATCAACATACCTCATAAATGCTGCCCCCAACCACAGATTTCTCACCGGCAACCTGATGTGCAATTATGATGACCGGTCTTTGCCTCGACACAACCAACAGCAGAATGCGGTTCCACCTCGGCTTAATATGCCACATCAGCGAGCTCTCATCATCCAGCATACACCCCGTATGTAACCACATAGCTCCCTGGCGCGCCCACTCTACCCTGGGCCGCCTAATGTTCAACGCCAATGCCTTATCATTGCCCCACACCTCATGCGAAGCACCAATAACTATTGCGAAGAACCAATGAAGCGCAATATGAACCAGCTCTGATACCAAATTGCAAGGAAAATAAGCAACAGCGAGATGACAATTCCAGATCACACCATCACATTTAAAGCCAGATAGTCACACCGTGTCCAGAGAGCAACATTGCACCAATAATACACCAATGGAGGTTCGTAGCACTGAAAACCAATGTTCATGGAGAG